AACACTTACTTAGAACCGAGGAGCGGTTGCCTTGACCAAGGAACCGAGGGATCATGGTAGATCTCGGCATATCGACATGAAGTATCATTTTATAAGACATCGAGTAGAAGAAGGACACCTTGTGGTTAAGAGGATATCATCAGAAGATAACCCAGCAGATCCGCTTACGAAGGGACTGAGTAGGATTAAGCACTTGCAGCATGCTAGAAGCATTGGACTTAAGGATGATATTAGTTTAAATTAGATAGTTTTAGAAACATATAATAGATAAATGTAATTGACATTTGATGATTAAATAAAGAAGTATTATTTATAAGTAAAGTTACTGTCTTATGTTAATTGTTTAACTATTGTATCAATTTGCATGTTTTGACTTCTAGAATAATTGAGTTTGTTAAGAATAATCGCATTATTCAAATAGTCCACAATCGTTCATGTGTTGGAAGTAGATATGAATGAAGATTGTCATGAATTGGTGTGTAGATTGTCTAAATGGTATTAGACATAGCAAAGGTTTGCTACAGCGTTCATGAGTGCTTATGAACAAGTTTTGAGCATTGGAATAAACCCGCGCTTGCTGGAATCACTTTTGGAATGTGACAAAGGTGATCGCAAGACGATAATATCATATGGTCTTAAAACCTAGATATATAGTTTATTATTTACTAATTGGTTGTGCATTAATAATGCGAAACCACATCAGTAAATTGATGTTATAAAACACATTGTTGTGTATAATTGATTAGTGGATAAGTAAATGCATATAATTCGAAGTTTATCTGTTACTTCTATCCAAAGAAGGTAAAAGCGATATCACGGCTGCTCGATGATTTGATTTGACTTATGTGCCGGGCTCGGTCAGGACTGAATTTATGTGTTCAATTAAGTTCTACGTCAAATAAATCTGAGATCGAGAAACCAACTGTTGGATAATTAGTTCCATGAGATTGTCAGTACAATATCTAAACAGAGCACTGTACGATCCCTTATCTAAAGGACAGGTTACTGATGAGATCAGAGTTGACAACATCTTTGAGAGCTATGATTGCTAATCGGATTGTGTTTGCATTTATAGTTACTAGAATTATCCAAGTGGGAGACTGTTGGATTAGTGTCTAAGGCTGTAACTATATTTGGTAAGTACTTGACCCGGTTGTGCATGATCCTTTTGGGTTGCCTTCACCATAGCAACTTGACAAGGTGATTTATATAGAGAGGAGAAATATTATTATTAATGTATTATAAGAATAATATATTAAAGGAATAATAATATTATTTGATTGATATAAGTCATAAATTAATTAGGAATTAATTTGGTGACTTAAGGAGATTAATTAAATAAAGGGGCATAAACTATCAAATGTGTGATAGTTGTGTTTTAGACTATGAATCCTTATGGATATGGGAAGGGATGATTTTAAGGATATGGATATCCTAGAAATCGTCCAAGGACTTATCCAGAAGGACCTTTGGATTGCTTTGAGGCTAAGTTATCCAATTAGGGTTTAAGGTAAAACCCTAGGAGCTCATAGTATAAATAGACCCTTAGGGTAAGAGAAATCGGCCACTCTATGTTTGAGGAAACCCTAGAGCCGATTTCTCACCTCTCTCCCTCTCTCAAATCATCTTCTTGCTAGTAGGTGTTTGTAAGTCATTAGAGGAGTGACAATTGTGACTCTAAGCTCCAAGGAAAAGAAGTTTTCAAGCAAGTAACTCAAGGTATTCTTCTAGATCTGATTTCATATTTTATAAATTGTTTATTTACACTAGATCTATGATTCAAAGTCTTGGATACAAAGCATGTTCTATTAGAGAAACCTAGATCCAAGCAATAGGATTTGCATGTGCACATAGGAAAGTTCTTATGACTCAAACCCATCAGTGGCATGGTGGGGCAAAAGAAAAAAAGGTGTGGGGGGGGGGGGGGGAAGCAACTATGAAGCTTCGTAGACTCGACATGTCGCTCTGCTTATAGAATATAATGAAGCAAGCTAGCGAGTCTCCTAGTAGCGAAGGAAAGGGGCATTTGGGAAGTGACTAATTGCTTATGACAAAGCTTATAGAAGGCCGACCACTACATAGAGAGATCCATATACCATCAATTCCTTTGAGTTTCATTCTTGTGAAAGTACTCCCCAGGCGGGATACTTAACGCGTTAGCTACAACACTGCACAGGTCGCTACGCTCAACGCCTAGTATCCATCGTTTACGGCTAGGACTACTGGGGTATCTAATCCCATTCACTCTCCTAACTTTTGTCTCTCAGTGTCAGTGTCGGCCCAGCAGAGTGCTTTCGCTGTTGGTGTTCTTTCCGATCTCTATGCATTTCACCGCTCCACCGGAAATTCCCTCTGCCCCTACCGTACTCCAGCTTGGTAGATTTCACTGCCTGTCCAGAGTTGAGCCCTAGGATTTGACGGCGGAATTAAAAAGCCACCTACAAACGCTTTATGCCCAATCATTCCGGATAATGCTTTTATCCTCTATATTACCGCTTTGGGCTGGTTATGGACTAAATGGAATTGGGCCTTTGCTGGACTTTGTAAATAAGATGTTTTGGGCCCGGTAGTGATAGTGGATCATGGAGTGAGGCCTAATTAGGAAGTTGGGCCAAATTTAGTAAATTAGGCTAATAATGGGCCTTTATCTGAACTTTTAACTCAAGGAATGGGTAGTTGGACTTAGCCAAATAAAGAGAATGGACTTAATGAATGGTGTGGACATTTAGTCAAGAAGGTTATTTTGGGTATTAATTTCGTGTTTATTGTGTAATAGTTTGGGATTCCCTGCGATACAACAGTTAGAGATTTATAGTATTTCAGCACTTCGAGTGAGGTGAGTTATGCTCACTATACTCAGGGGTCTAAGGCACCAAGGTCGGCCCTTGGGATTGTTACATGGTTATGTTATGCTAGTATGATCTGTTAGATCGGTATCCTAGAGAGTAGGATAGTATTATGTGGTATGAGATATGATCTGGTAGATCGGTATCCTGGTAGATAGGATGATGTTATGTTTGTGGTATGATCCGTTAGATCAGTTGTTATCTATAGACTGTTATGTGATTATCTGTTATATGTGCACATGTTTGTTTGGCAGTTGAGGCTTATCTGATTTGTGCGAAAGCCAATAGACCTGGGCATTCCAACCTGTTGGTTGTGGGCCGTGAGTATTCCATCCCGAGGATGATTGGACTTATAGTATGTGGGCATTCGAACATATTAGTTGTGGGCCTGGGGTATTCCATCCTGAGGATGATTGGACCCATAGTATGTTGGTATTCCAACCTGATGGTTGAGGGTCTGGGGTATTCCAACCCGATGGTTGACTGAACTCATAGTATGTTGTTTATGATTATATATGTATTGTCGTGGGTATGGGTATTTTGGGGGAACTCACTAAGCTTTCAGGCTTATAGTTTCAGTTTGGTGTTTCAGGTACTTCTGGAGATTGGAGGAATGCGAAGGCATGATCGTACCGCTCATCCTGTTGTTATGATTTTGCTTTTTGATACTGGGATAATATGATATTTATATTTTGAAAACAAACTATGTAATGTTAAATGGTTTTATGTGTTTTGAAAAGTTTAAATTTTTCATAATTTTTATGAATGTTACATCGGTGGATAAGGGTATCGGTTTGATTATTCAAAACTCTGTAGGTTACGGAGCGGGTTTGGATCAGATTTTGAAATTTGTTAAAAGGGTTTGGATCAAGATCGATTCGCTCCAAACCTACCCCATTGTCATGCCTAAGAGCCAGAGGGAATGAAGGAATTAAAGGTGGATGATGATGATAAGGTATAAAAGGAGGTGGGCCCACTTCCATTTATGTTTTAGTAAAAAAAACTCAAAAATAATAATGGATAAATTATAACAATAAAATAAATGAAAAAAGAAATTGACAAGGGAAATATAATGATTTCATGTTGGCAACGAGATAACATGTAAAATTTTTAACAAATCATAGACGATCCGAGTTAATTTTTAAAAATATAAACTAAACGTGCCTTTTAATACCCATACGAAGGACGATTTGTGTAATCAACTCAAAAATGAAATACGTTCCCATGAGGTGCATGTGGATGAGAAAATGAAGGATGATTAACCATTGTTAATTTTGGGGACAAATTCCACAATGAAACTTTGAAATAAGAACATTTTTTGGAAGTTGAAACTGTTTTGAACTATTATCAAACAAAAATACAAACCACATAGATCATTTTTGAAATTTTTTCTCTATTTACTATCTAAGTCCTAAGTTGTAATTCACTACTTCTGTTGCATTCCTTATTAGATACATTTTTTTGGTTGTGGAAGTCTGTTTGAAATAATTTTAGCAGACATTTTATCCTTCGTTGATGACTCTTTTTCTAGTAGTGTTACGAGTTTGAAGAGAGTGAAAAATGACTCTCCCTAACAAAAAGTTTAACAATGATCGATATTTAAAAAATTAATGTTTCATCAATATCTTATGTAGTCTGCAATTAATCTTTAATCCAAATTAAGTTTGGAAAATTACTAAAAAGTCCTAATATTTTCGGAAAAGTTATATTTACGTCTCAAAAAACAATTTTGAATATAAATTTCTGATTATTTGATTTTACATTATAATATGTCATTTCCTATTAAAAAATAAAAATAACTTTTTTTGTTAATTTGAGACCAAAAAGAAATAATCGAGACTTTGATGTTAAAAAATTGGAACTTAATCGTAACTTTTCTGAAAATATTAGGATTTTTCTAGCAATTTCTGATTAAGCTTTTATCAAAAATTATTTCTAACCTACACCTAGAACATATGCGATACAAAATTCTGTTAACAACGCCCAAAAAATCAAGTTCAAAAGATCATCGTTATTCTCATCTTATTCAATTTGCACGATTCTAATACACACATTATATATGTATCTATGTGTATTTATATTCAAAGTTCTGTAATTCCCGAAAGGTTCCCAGAATCCCATTTTCCTTTGGTTTTATACTTTCAATATTCTTGTCTAAGTTGATCCAACGTTATGAGGTATTCTTCCTTTCTGTGCCTCCGTTGGTAACTTGACGTTCGTTGCTAATCCAAGCAGCCGAAGAAACTTGATCAACAGCCACGTCGGGTCAAATTGCCACCATTCCAATCCATGTCGAGCAGATCTCGGGAAAGCGTGGTGATTGTTATGCCAACCCTCTCCAAGTGTCAACACTGCCACCCACCTGTTTCAAATCCCATATCATGTACGTTATATTTTATCTCAATTATTACTCAATGAATACATACGCATCCTATTAATATATATATGCTGAAGACTGAAGTGTTGCGCATGGGCAAACAAACCATTTATTGGTGGAAGTATCTGGGGTGTTCCACGGCCTCTCCCCCCATTTATGGCTGACATAGCCTGCTAGTGCCGCAAAATGGTGAATCACCACTGCTCGCATTCCCTGCATGGATTACAAACATGATTCTCTTCGCATAACTAATTAACATATCGATTATATACATACCATTGCCCAAGCCAAGTAAGGAAAGCCTCCCCGGAGATATAGTAGGGCTGCAAGTGCAGTTGGATGCCAAAAGTAAGTATCATGAAGAAACCTATAAAACCACTGTGCTTTTAGTTCTGGTACTTTCGAGTATTCTCCACCCCTTGATTCTCCACACTAATTAATTTGATCAATTCAATACACCAAAGGTGGTTACGAGATTAAGTAAAGATAATATGAAATGAAAGTGTATATATATATATGTAAGGCATTGTGTAGTCACCTTCGTTGCAATGTGGTCATTGTTGAAAAGCCAACCCATATTACAAAACCAAAAACCGTCAGTTGGGGTAACAGGATCCCTATTCGTATCGGTATACTTGTGGTGGTTCTTGTGAGTGTTCACATAGAACATTGGATCTCTCTGTAATTTTATAAGTTAGAGAAAATCAATAAGCAAGATCCGACAATTAGAAGATATAGGTAATAGAAGTAACGTGTATGTTATACATGCACATAGGTAAGATACCTGGAAAGCGTGAGAACCACAATAAACGAAGAAATACTCGAGCCATTTTGGGATCTTGAAACTTCGGTGACAAAGAAGTCTATGATAACCTAGAGTCATACCAAAGGCGCTCAATAAAGCAAAGGCCACACATAATCTGATTGCACCCCGATGAAACACGAAAGGTGCGCATGCAGCCAACACATGAATCCCGGTAAACCAGCAAATGCTAGACACGTCTTCCAAATCCCATTTCCGGAACCAAAACCATCCCTTCTGCTTCCTCTCGAACTCCAAGGTTGTCACAGCTAGTTTCCCTGTTGCTGCCATAGTCTTGTTTTGATAAGCTGCCTACAGTCGGAAGGGATGAGGCATATACACGTATATGGACGAATTAATGTGCCCCATTAAAAGCAAGTGGGATGGATAGATCTCTGGTGTGTTTTTTTTTTTTTTTTTTTTTCCGGGGGTGGAGTTTATCGTGGAATAGTTTATTCATGCTATGTATTGAAATCTGTGTAAGAGAGTTTTTTTTTTTTCCCACGTACGGTCCATATGTATACACGTATGAAAGTATTATCTAGGCGACCTAACGAAGAGAAATACTACTGGAAGGCTGGACGGTATCATAGCCTAAAAGGGTAGAGGGAAACAACCGCGGGAAAGAGGTGGGGAGGGGTGTCACACTCTCTCTTCATGTTCATGCTATTGGGTAGTTTTTTTTTTTTTTTTTTTTTTTTTTAATATATATATTTTTTAATATTAATAAATATTATACCTACTAAAAAATATAAAAAATATATTAAAAATAATGGTTTTTAATTCCCTACAAAATAAATATAATATATGTATGAAATACACCACAAGAAATATACTCTAAAGGGGGTATCGCTGGTAATAATATCGCCGCTAAAGGGTTGACACCCGAATCCGCACTTTCCCCTTGTGTTGCATCTCAATCGTTCGATGAGATATCCAATCCAACGGGTGGGGTGTGTTATCCAGTATAACCAAATACCGGCGACACAAAAGTTGCCGCTAAAGG